GGTCAATGGTGGAAGAGAAAGAGTTTTGTCTGCGAGATAAGGCATAGTAAAGTGGCAGTTTCAAAGAAGAAGAAAAAAAACACCTCTGGAACAAAACCTAGAGGAGCAGCCTTCTGGCAGTAATTTTGTGATGAAAAAGAAAGGGTTTTTTGTGTTTGCGTGCAGAAGCAGAGCCCCTAGAATCGGGACGCTCTCATACCAAGTTGAAGAATTGAGTTTTATTAATTGATTGCAAATACAGAAGCTAAATACAATTTATAGGCCTAGGCTAACTTAATAAAGGAAAGAGTAATTATGTACAAGATCTTCTAATTAATACAAATCTCCTACTTGATTCTAGGAAATCAGATCATGATCCGAACAAATCTCATTATAATCAACCAAATATTCTAATATCTCCACATCTGAAGAAGTGTCCAATCCTATACCAAGGAAGATGGGGCCCAGATTAACACAAAATGAACTGCAGGAGATGAGTTGGAAAGGATTATGTTTCAAATGTGGGGAAAATTGGAACCGAGGTCTGCAGGAGAAGAAGAGTCTGAATCTGTCAGGAAGGATACAAAGGAGGAAGAGGGAATTGAAATGGAATTCAAAACTATGCAATTGTCTTCAATGATTAAGGAAGGGATTCCAAGCATGAAAACCTTCAAAATGAAAGGAGTAGTGAAGTGGGAATTTGGAGAACTGAAGGTTGAAGTCCTTATTGATAATGGTGCAACCCATAACTTCATTTCCCAAGAGTTAGTGAGAAAATGGGAGTTACCATACCATACGACTAAAGGATATTCTGTACAATAGGTAATGGAGATCAAATCACAAACAGTGGCAGATGTGAAGGGCTGAAATTGGAACTACAGGGGCTGAAAATACAGCAACCTTTCTACATTCTAGAATGGGGGGAACAGATATGGTGTTGGGCATGGAATGGCAGACAAGCTTAGGAGATACAGAGATTAACTTCCAAAATCAGACCATTAAATGGGAGGTACAAGGGCAGAAGGTAAGTATACAAGGAGATCTTTCATTAAGTCAATTGGGAACTAATAAGGAGATGAAGAGCCTGGTAAATAAGTATGGAGAAGGAAATTTGCTGAACTATCATGGGTCATCTACTGATAGTGAAGAAGGAAGAGTACGGAGCATTGTGAGAACCAATTTTTGGGATTCTACTATCCAGGCTACTATACTTGATGTATCCATAGAACCTGAAGGAAAGCAAAAGGACCAGCAATCAATCAAGTATTGGAAAGGGAGAGGTGCTCGGATGAAGGAAAAGCAGAATATTTTGGTTGTTTCCTATCACCCACCTTGAAGGCAAGGTGGATGTTTAGGGGGAAGTATTGATAGGAATCGGGCCTAATAGACTAATAATAATAATAAGTGTACTAGAATAGTATAAATAGAATAAACTGGGAGAGGTCAAGTAGGCTCAAGGTTGTTTAGACTTTTGTCTTGTACTGGGAAGTTAGAGACTAATACTCTCTCTCTCTTTGGGGGCTTCGGCCATTTGGGGGCTTCGGCCATTGTTATTGTCTTCTTCAATAAATTTTGCAGTTCTTATTCTTGATAATTCTTTGTGAATTTTCCGTAAAAATTGGTTAGTTCTATCAATGTACCACCACGGTTAGAAAACTTGGTGAAACTTGGCGAAGTTTGCAAACTGAGGAAGTCCTTGTACAGGCTAAAGTGTGGTTTGACATATTTACAGGATGAGTCCTTAAACAAGGGTTCATGCAATGTCAAGCAGACCGCGTACATTGTTTATAAAGAGGACAGATTCTGGTAAAATGGCTATTCTGATAGTATATGTTGATGACATTACTATGACAGGGGATTATAAGGTTGAATTGGACAGATTGAAGGCTCATCTATCAAGAGAGTTTGAAATCAAGGAGCTAGGTGAGTTGAAGTACTTCCTGGGAATGGAAGTGGCAAGATCTAAAAGAGGCATTTTCATTTAACAAAGGAAATATGTCCTATATTTGCTAAGTGAAACTGGAATGCTTGGGTGCAAGCCTATGGACACTCCTATTGATATATCAAAGAAGTTAGGTAGTGAGAAGGAGAGTCCACCCGTTGACATGGGTAGATATCAAAGGCTGGTAGGAAAGCTGATCGACTTATCTCTCACACGGCCAGATATTGCTTTCTCAGTAAGTATGGCGAGTCAATTTATGGATGATCCAACCGAGGAACATCTAACTGCAGTCTATAGAATTTTGAGTTATTTGAAAATGACACCATGAAAAGAATTGTTGTTCCAAAAACAAAGGACAATGAAGATTAAGGTGTTCACTGATGCTGACAGGGCGGGAAGCATCTTAGACAGACGGTCAACTACTGGTTAATGTGCATATGTCTGGGGTAACTTAGTCACTTGGAGGAGCAAAAAACAGTCGGTGGTTTCTAAAAGTAGTCCAGAGTCTGAACTCAGGGCTTTAGCACAAGGAATCTGTGAAGGATTATGTTTAAGAAGATTGATGAATGAGCTCAAACTTCCATTTGAAAACTCCATTCAGATTACATGTGATAACAACTCTACTATCAGTATTGCTAAGAATCATGTTCATCATGACAGAACCAAGCACACTGAGATACATAGACGATTCTTATCAGAGAAGATTGCAGAAAGGATATCCAGTTGAGCTATGTTCCAACCAAGCAACAAGTAGCGGATATACTCACCAAGGCACTTCCAAGAATTCAGTTTGAAGTCCTATCTAGCAGGTTGTGCATGGATGATATCCATCACCCAGCTTGAGGGGGAGTGTAGATTATTTTAATTATTATCTTGATTCATCCAGTCAGGTTCTTTCAAATACATCCCTTATTATTAGGATCTTTAATTACTAGGATTCCTTCCTTATTTTCTACTTCTCTAGATGTATATATTCTTTAACCTTCTTCTCGTTTGGAATAACAAAAACTGAACAGAGACATCCTTCTATATTTCCTACAATCTACACCCATCTTTCTTTAACAGATTGTTGAGTGGAGAACACTTCCGATCCAACATGTCCTCTATCTTGTTGGGATCTGCTGTCACGCCCTCTCCAGAGATGATATGGCCCAAATAGGTCAGTTGTTTCTGCCCAAAAGAACACTTTTTCTGGTTAGCTACCAAGCTCTTTTCTTTTAGTAACTGTAACACTTTCTTAAGGTGTTCTTTATGAACTGCTTCATTCGGGCTGTAGATTAAGTTATCATAAAAAAACGAACACAAACTTTCTGAGGTTGGGTCTTAAAACTTGATTCATTAATGCCTGAAAAGTAGAGGGGGCATTGGTTAGCCCAAAAGGCATAACCAAATATTCATCTTGAGGGGGCTTGTACTATGCCTGATGATGCCCGATTTCAACAAATCCTGCACAACTTTCTCAATTTCATTATTTTGTATGAGGATATCTGTACGGCCTGATGTTAAGGATGGTAGATCCTTCTTTGATGGTAATGGCATGATCACAGTCCCTCTGAGGAGGGAGACCACTGGGAGGCTGGAAAACTTCAGAAAACTCAACCATAATCTCCTTTACCCAATCCATTTCCAAACCTGTCCTCCTTGACTTCAGTTTTAACTAAACAATATCCCTCACCTTGTTTGTTTAGAGCTTTGACTATTGCTATAAAGGAAGCTTGGGTTTTACTGAGGGTAGGATCTCTTTTCAGCATGTGTTTTATATCATTTTCCCTCCATATTATGATAAGTTTGCTGAAATTGAACTCCACATCACCCAATCCAGATAACCATTCCATGCCCAACACAATAGTTTCAAGCCCAAGACAATAGTTCCAGGCCCAAGACAATACCTTATCCCCTTTACAAAGTAAGGGGCTATTTAATAGTTCCCTTCCCCCTTCTAGTGTAAACTTTGTTAAAATAGGTGACATTATTATTATAATTCCACTGCTCCCCTTGCTCTCTATCAAAGACGCAGAGTGGCAGCGGCGGTGGTGATCAGATTTGTGGTGGTGGCTAACTTTGCTCTGATACCAGATGCTAGGGTTAGAGCGCGTGCGCACAGAATCTGAAAAAACAAGAAGAGAACGAGAAGAACGACACACAAAATTGACATGGTTCAGCATGTAGATGTTACTGACCTAATCCACGGGGCAACTAGGGTTTTCTTTTCTTATTGAGGTGATTAATGATTCAATACAATGTTTACAAGTACATGAGTCAGTGCAATTAGGGTGAACCGGTGAACTCTTATTTAGGGCGTGTTTGGCATTTATCGGTTAGCGGATAGCGGATTATGTTAGCGGGTTGTCAATAGCGGATTCAATCAGCGGGTTTGACTAGCGGAATAAGTTGGCGGGTTGTCAAAAAATGTTTGGTAATTTAGCTGCTTGAACATATAAAATTAATAGAAAACGCCATTTTTCAAAACGCTGACCCAGAACTCTCCTATTTGCACCATTTCCATTTCAGTGGTTCCGTCCAAAAATGCTAATGTCGAACCGCTATTTACCAAGTAGCGTTTTCACTTATCAAAAACGTCAAAAGTGGTCAAACCGCCATTTTTTGTTGTAACGCCATTTACCAAACACCCCCTTAAGCTATGGGCGTGACTGCAACCAAAATAGGGCCCATCTAGAGCCGGCTGCGCATCTAGCTAGGGCTAGCTGCTGCTGCTTGTTTATTTGGCTACCGGATTTGAATGGACCGAAGCCTAAACCCCAACACGACTTAGTTTTTAAAACATACTACCTCCGTCCCTCTAACATTGGGACAAGGAGTGGTGTGGTTATTAAGTAAGAACTAATTGTAACCACCCAAAAATTATCAAATATGGTACATGACAAACTTAATGGGACGACCGGAAAAGGTAAAATGAGACAAAGATAGGGGGCGAGGGGAGTACTACCCAACAAGGTCTCCTAGAACCGTTGGAGAACTAGACATATATAAGTAGTTGATTTTTGCAAAACACATGTAAGCTTTTTCAGTATAAATGAAAATAAAAAAAGAATACAAGTGAAATAGTGCAAAAAGATACCTTATCGATGGGTTCCATCCATCCATTTGTTGGGTGAGATATCTTATTTTGTCCACGTATAATGGTACCATCCTACATTACATTGGAAAACAAAAGAGCAAAGTTTGATATCCTGTAAAGCAAACATGGATTCTTTTTCACAACCTCAATGTACTAAAAATAATCTAATTGAACCAAAACAAGGAAAAAAATGCATGCTAACGGGAGAACCTGGGGTGAGCAGTAAAATGTCTTAATCATAACAAGGAAAGAAGTAAAGAATGATTCAACGTAATTGAAGCAGCAATGTTGTTTTTCATTTCCTATTACATCCTCCATGTTTGCTACTCATCCTTAAATCCTTGCATTCAGATCCATTGGCTTTATTTTTAATTTCATATGTGCCCTTTGAAACTATTCTGTCCAAATACCTGCTTAAAACAAATATGTGCAAGGTATGTGTTCTGCAGTTGGCTTTAGTTAAAAATAATCTAACCATGGCTTCCATCACCACCCCATCTGAAGTGCACATCCCTAAATCCTCATGAACTCAAGCCAGTGGTAGTGTGGTACTTTGGTGCAAATTAATTTGGACAATTCATCCTTTGGAATTGACTTGGAATCAAGGAAGATAGGTCAGCCCTGGATTCTTTAGTGCTACAGGTATGGGGCAAAATGTTATTAATGAATTCACACTCATATTTGAAACATTAATGGTGAGAATTGCAGAGGTTAACTAATGATGAAAATGCATGTGGAAAGAGGAGGAAGGGCATGATAGGGACATGGACCTCCAACAATAATAATAATAGTAGAATTATACTAAGGAGTGTGATATTGTATAAATAAGGGTTTTGGGCTAGGTACTAGTTAGCTTGGGCCGGCCCATAAGGGAATTTTATTATAAATAGGAGTGGAGTAGAATAAGAGGGTAGGCAGAATTTGGATCTGGAATTAGGCCTTGGGAGTGTTGAGACGACTCGAACTGTCTCGATATGTTTTCTTCTCTTTCTTTCCGTTGCAGCCATTGTTATCCGGTTAAGGTCCTGAAAACTTTATAAATAAAATACTAATTTCTACTACTTGCTGGAGGGTTCTAACATTGGTATCAGAGCAGTTTATCCTGGGAAGCTTCAATCTACAGTCACACGAAAATGGAGCAGCGCGGAAAAGGGAAGTTGGAGAAGCGCGAATATGGAGAACAGAATGTGACCGCCTCTGATTTGCGTGCGAACATGGATAAGCGCCTCTCTACACAAGGCGGAAAGGAACCGCGCAGGCATCATGGAAGAACCGGTCAGGGTGTTTCGCGCAGAAAAGTGGAGACGTTAGCGGAAAAGGTTGAGCACAGAAAAGTGGAGAAAATCGCGGAAAAGGTAGAAAGTGACTGGGAGAAAGAGTGGAGGATCTGGTTGGACCAGTTGTGCACCGATCTGCGTAAACAACGTCGCAGGCTGTTAGAGATACTATATCTACGAACTGTGTAATAAGCTTAGCATTCAGTTAGCTAGTTATAGTTAGTCAAGCTGTTTAGATTCAGTTACAAGTTGGTTATACTACCTCTCTATAAATACTGATGTACTGGTATTATGTGATCAATGAAAATCCTTCTTCTTCATTTCATATTCTGGCTACTTTTCTAATATGGTATCAGAGCTTTGAGCTCGATCTACCATGACGAATTCAACTTCTACGACATCTTCTTCTTCCGCAGCTGGGAATTCAACTTTTCCAGCTGTATTCACGCATCCTCTCCCAATCAAACTTGGTTCAAACAACTTTCTTCTTTGGAAGCATCATATCGAATCCGTCATTCGAGCACATAAATTGTTGCAATTTGTGGAAAATCCGAAGATTCCAGCTCAGTTCATCCATGGCGATGACGGAACCAGGTCAATCAACGATGAATATGCTGTATGGGAACAACAGGATCAGATGCTTTTCTCATGGCTTATTTCCTCTCTATCGGAATCACTTCATGCTCGCGTAATCCATTGTCAACGTTCGCATGAGCTTTGGAGTACGATTCGGAAATTTTTCCAATCAAATCTCACTGCGAAGGCACGCCAGCTCAAATCCGAGCTCTACAATACTGGTAAAGGAGATCGCTCGATTGAAGAATATCTTCTTCGAATTCAAACAACTGTTGATAATCTGAGTTTGATTGGTGAGCCAATTTCTACTAAAGAACATGTGAATGTTATTCTTGAGGGACTTCCAGAAGAATATGAATCTATTGTATCATCCGTATCCTCTCGTAGCCTCCTTGATCCGATAACTGTTTCAGAACTTGAACCTCTGCTTTTACTCAAAGAAATGCGTCTGAAAAAGCATCGTGAAGCAACTACTCCTAATATTTTTTCTGCTAATGTCGCTCATGCTGAAAACACTTCTCAAACTTCCAGTTCAGAAACTGTCACAGCAACCGAAACTTCTTCTGCTAATATGGCACAATTTCATAACCCTAATCAGTCAAATCCATATAGAGGAAGAGGTCGTGGAGGCCCAAACAGAGGTAGAGGTGGTCGTTTTGGAAATCGAAGCTCAGTAATATGTCAGGTGTGTGGAAAGTCTGGACATCATGCCCTAATTTGTTATCATCGCTACAATCCTAATTTTACCTATCCAAACCCTAATCCAAATTACACCAATTCTAACCATGGACCTTCAAGTCAATGGAACTCACAATCATCTAATTCATACACTCCATCTCACTTCAATCATTCACCCTACTATACTCCAAGACAGAATATACCTCAACACTTCAGCTCTTCAGCTCCTGCTAATCTTCCTAACCATCAATCTACAGCTCAAGAGACTTTCAATTGGGATCAGCACTCAGCCAGACCTCTACCATCTGCAGCATTTGCTAGTACAAACTCTGTTCTTGGACCACCTCCATCTTCTCAACAATGGTTCCCTGATTCAGGTGCTACTCATCATGTGACTGCTGATCCACTCAATTTTCAGCACAGTGAGCCTCTTGTTTCAACTGACAAACTCTTTATGGGTAATGGTCAAGGTGTGGATATCAAATCTATTGGTTTTTCTTCCTTTCTATCTCCCTATTCTAAGTCTCAGTCTCTTATGTTAACTAATATGCTTCATGTCCCTTCTATAACCAAAAATCTCATGAGTGTTAGTAAATTTGCTAAAGACAACAATGTTTTCTTTGAATTCCATCCTTATGATTGTTATGTCAAATCTCAGGCTTCTAAACAGGTTCTTCTACATGGAGTACTTGGTGCTGATGGTTTATACAAGTTCCAGTCCATACCTCCTCTTGGTTTACATCAATTCAAAGATGCAAGTCTGTCTACCTCAATAGTGTCCACAACAAACACCCCTTTGTACCCCCTTTCCTTTGTTTCCACTTATAATACATCTAGCTCTTGCAATAATGCCTCAGTTTCTTGTAATATTTGGCACCTAAGATTAGGCCATCCACATTTTGAAGCACTGAGATCTGTACTCAACACTTGTAATGTGTCTGGCATAAATAAAAATGATGTTTCATTCTGTTCTTCTTGTTGTCTTGGTAAGGCTCACAGACTACCCTCACACTCATCTCATACTGTATATAAATCCCCATTTGATCTTATCTTTACAGACTTATGGGGCCCAGCCCCCATGTATTCATTTGATGGATATTCATATTACATCTCCTTCATTGATGCATGTACCCGATACACTTGGATATATTTTCTAAAGAAGAAATCTGATGCCATTACAGCTTTTCAGAACTTCCATAAATATGTTCAAACTCAATTTTCAAAATCCATCGATCTGTCCAGTCTGATTGGGGAGGTGAGTTCAGATCCTTCACCACCTTTCTTGCTGAGAATGGAATAACACATAGGGTTATTTGTCCACATACACATCACCAGAATGGTGTTGTGGAAAGAAAACACAGAACTATAGTTGAGAAAGGCCTTTCCATTCTTGCTCACTCCTCATTAACTTTAAAATTCTGGGATGCTGCCTTCTCCACCTCAGTTTATCTTATCAACAGAACTCCATCAACTTCTCTTGCCAACTCAAGTCCATATTTTCAACTCCATGGAACCAGTCCAGATTACTCTCTACTAAAAGTATTTGGTTGTTCTTGCTATCCATTCATTAGACCCTACAACAAACATAAAATGGCCTTTCATTCAGAAGAGTGTATTTTTATAGGTTACTCACCTCAGCACAAAGGCTATAAATGCCTCTCCTCTTCTGGCAAAATCTACATCTCTAAGGATGTTACCTTTCATGAGGCAAGATTTCCTTACTCTATTCTTTTCCCATCCACCTATAATGATTCCAAGTCATCTCAGTCTTCATTTTCTGCCCCTTTAACTGTGATTCATCCCTCATCTTTCTCTAATGTCTCTTCTTCTCAAATCACTGAACCACAATCTACCTCTTCTCAAAGTCAAAATCTGTCCCATACATCTTCTTCCAACTCTCAGAATTCTAACTCTGACCAAAACCATATGTCTCCACCCCAATCTCCAAATAACTCAACTCAGTTTTCACAAAATATTTCTCCTACAAATTCATCTTCTTCTCCTATTCCAACTAACACTCATCCTATGCAAACTAGGGCAAAGTCAGGAATTGTTAAACCTAGATTGAATCCCACCTTACTATTAGCTCATACTGAGCCTAAATCAGTTAAGCAAGCTTTATCTTCTCCACAATGGTTTTCTGCTATGCAGGCTGAATATGATGCATTGATAGCAAACAATACATGGTCTCTTGTTCCTCTGCCACCAAACAAACAAGCTGTTGGATGTAAATGGGTCTTTAGGGTCAAAGAAAATACTGATGGCTCTCTAAACAAGTTCAAAGCCAGACTAGTAGCCAAAGGATTTCATCAAAGATTTGGATTTGATTTTGGAGAAACCTTCTCCCCTGTTGTAAAACCCATTACAATCAGAATCTTGATCACTCTAGCTATATCTCACAAATGGTCAATTCAACAGCTTGATGTGAATAATGCCTTTTTAAATGGTAGTCTAGAGGAAGAGGTCTATATGGTTCAACCTCCAGGCTTTGAAGTCAAGGATAACTCTCTTGTTTGCAAACTGCATAAGTCACTATATGGA